GCCCCTCTTTGCTCGAAAACACGAAGAGTTTTCGTGCAAAGATACAGTAAGCGGATACGAGCGATTTTTGCCCACTTGAATACTCCGTGGGAAATATTTTGCAACGATTTGACCGCACCCTACTTCCTAGGTTTCCTACATATCTTTGGCTATAAAGGAATCAAGTCAGTATAGTTCGGGAAGTTTTGGTAGCTGGGACTACCAGGAAGCTGTGATTTCACTGTTGCTGCTGCTGCTAGTGCTTGCTGAAACTCCTTATTACATCAAGACAAAATAAAAGAAGCTAGACGAAACTACGATCTATGAGTTATAAGAATTCTATCTATATCTTTAAACTTGCTCATGCAGTTTCTGTTGCTTTGTTGACTTGTACTCTCCAAGTGAAATTCCTTTTCTACTGGCTTGAATTGTATTCTGAGGCGCTTTCCCTTTATTTTTCAGGCGGGCACTTGATTGCTGAACTTGAATCATTTTCCTTCGAACATTGCTGCTTTCCCTTTGTTCTCCAGGTGGGAGCCTGATTACCAACATTTGAATTATCTTCCTTTCCTCCGACACTAGACTTGTTTTCCCTTTGTTTTCTAGGTGGGCGCCTGATTTCCGAACTTGCACCGTCTTCCTTTGAACATTGCTGCATTCCCTTTGTTCTCCAGGTGGGCTCCTGATTACCAACACTTGGATTGCTTTCCCTTTATTCTTCAGGAGGGTGCCTGATTACCAACATCTACATTGTTTTTCCTCGAAACTTGAACTGCTTCCCTTCTGCAATATTTTTCCTCGAAACTTGAACTGCTTCCCTTTGTTCTCCAGGTGGGCTCCTGATTACCGACACTTGAATTTTTGCTTCCCTTTGTTCTCCAGGTGGGCTCCTGATTACCGATACATGAATTTCTTCTCCCTTTATTCTCCAGGTGGGCTCCTAATTGTCGACATCTAAATTGCCTCTCCCTTTGTTCTCCAGGGGGCTCCTGATTACCAATACTTGAATCGCTCCCCTTTGTTCTCCAGGTGAGCTCCTGATTACCAACACTTGAATTACTTTCCCTTTGTTCTCCAGGTGAGATCCTAATTACCAACACTTTAACCGTATTCACTTGCTCTCCAGGTGGGCGCCTGATTGCCAAAACTCTAACCGCTTTTCCTCGGAACTTGATTTGTTTTCCCTTTATTCTCTAGGTGGGCTCCTGATTACTAAACTTGAACTACTTCCTCTTGCGACTGCTTTTCCTTTGAACTGCCTCCCGTTGTTTCTAAAGGTGGGTGCCTGATTGCTCGACCCTGAGCTGCTTTCTATTCTCGAAACTCGTGTTGTTTTCCCTTGCTCTCCAGGTGGGCTCCTGATTACAACAGAATAGACAAAACAAAGAAAATTTTTCTGCCCCAGTTTGGTAGCTGGGCACATTTGTGAGTGTTAACTGAGTCATGTTACCAAATATTTCTAAGAATTTGAAAGCTATATCCCATTATCCAGGAGGGTCCTGAAAATTCCTAGTTAACTGACAGTTTTTTAAGCTAAATGATATTTCCTAAAGGTATGACTTCCGCTAAATCTTGTTATCTGTGAAGGTCTTAAAACTAAATCCCATTATCCAGGAGGGTCCTGAAATTTGAAATCAAATCTCGTCTTAAAGGTGAAAATTTTAGAGCTAAATTCAACTTCCTAATGGTGAAACTTATGCTAGATCTCAACTTCTAAGGGAGGTCTTAAACTAAGTCCCATTATTCAGGAGGGTCCTGAAAATTTCAAATTGAATCTCATCCTAAGCATAAAAACTTCAAAGCCAACTTATATTTCCCCAAGGTAGAGCCTATGCTGGATCTTGTTACTCATGAATGTTTTGAATTTTAACTAAGTCCCATTGTCCAGGAGGGTCATGAGGATTTACGGTCGAACCTGTCTGGTGCTTGCTTTCTTTACGGAGGGTTTCTCCGAAACAAATGAAATTTTTTGCCCCTATTTCAAATCAAAGAAAAATCTTGTGAGTTTAAAATATGGTGGTTAGTTTGTGACATTCTTGCTGAAGGTGGCCTCTCCACTGCCGTGCTTCGCTTTGACTGGTTGCCTTGAACTGGCCAAGAACTGTTTGACTTTCTGACTGACTCTCAACTGTAGGACCTTGGATGACCCGAGTGTTCTATGCCCAAACCGTTGCTTTACATTTATGACCTTTCTACCTGAACCTCTGTATCTCCTACATGATTACTAAACCCTTCGACCAATGGAACTTTCACTGACAACTTATTTCCCACTTTACATCATGCTATCTTTGGTATGCTTTGGCTGCACTTTGATTTGTGCAATTGGAAGTTGGTGGTAAGCTTTGAAATCCTTTCTTACTTGCTTAAACAAAGCTGACATTGGAAAAACCTTAGAGAAATAAACCCGAAAGAAATGAAATGCAATGACTTTGAGAGTTAGGGAATAAAAGAAAATCTAAAGCTGGATGACTGTTTGAGCGGGGAAAAGGAAAAGAGACTTATCTGAGTGGAACAACTGGCACCAATGATCATGACATGCATTTTGGATAAATCAGCCCAGCCTATTCAACCAATCACCTTTCAGTTGTCAGACTTTATGCCCCAGGAGCTCCATAACCCAATTCCTTCGCCAAATCATTGACCTTGTTCGGCTTGCGGTACCCTGAAGGGCTTTTTACCAACAAAACTCTCTCATATTTTCATCTCTCAACTCACCGTCGCCTTACGGTTCCCATGAGGGTTTTCACCAATAAGACCCTCTCATCATTTTTTTAAAATTTCTCTTAGCTTTCCATCGCCTTACGGTACCTGTGAGAGTTTTCACTATTAAGACTCTCTCATTTATTATTTTTCTGCTCAGAACGGAGTGTTGCCCCTGACATGAATCACCTCTACTTGCTTGACTTGACATCTCTCAAAGACTGATCGGAAGGTCTTTCTTTGGACCATAATGTGGGCTTTTGGACATGGTTAGAAAGAAAAGGTATCACAAAGGCTCAAAAACAACTTGGATGAGTTCAATATTACAACTCTTGGAATCAGATTTCTTATAACAACCACAACTTCTGCCCAGTTTCTTTGCTTGGGGACTTTTGAATTTTTATTTTCATGGGACCGAACCGTGAGGCTGCCTACGTATCCTTAAAAGGAATCAGGTCAAACGTAGTTTATGCCATAGGAATTACTTTGTTATTGTGATTTTTCTCCTTTCTTTTTCTTTCTCTCATTTCCTTTTCTTTTATTTTCTTTTCTTTTCTCTTTTTTTCTCACTCTTTTCCATTCTTTTCTTTCTCTTTTCTCTTTTCTTTTTTATTTTTCTTCTTTACTCAACCTTTGCGCTCGTGTTTACGAACTTTGCTACTGATTCCAAAAGAGGGGTATGAAACGAAATAAATAAATCTCAAAGCGGTAATAAAGGATAAAGTGTTTAGATAGCGGAACAAAATGCCTTCATCATTCCAATATTCAAAACATGCCAAGTACAAACAACACAACTTAAACCAAAGAAATCATACATAATATCTTTTGACCGCATCAGAATTGATAGCCATATCTACACATTTGCCTTCTATATCTGTCAAATACAAAGAACCATTGGACAACACTCTCGTTATGATGAACGACCCCTGCCAATTTGGGGCGAACTTGCCTTTTGCTTCCGCCTGATGTGGAAGGATACGTTTCAATACTTGCTGACCCACTTCAAATTTCCGGGGATGTACCTTTTTGTTGTATGCTCTTGCCATTCTCTTTTGATACAACTGGACATGTCATACTGCTACCAATCTTTTCTCATCAATCAAACTCAATTGCTCTAGACGGGTTTTGACCCACTTAGTATCATTAATTTCGGCTTCAGCGACAATCCGAAGGGATGGAATTTCAACTTCCGCGGGTATCACCGCTTCTGTGCCGTATACCAACAAATAAGGAGTTTCACCTACTGAAGTGCGCACAGTAGTGAGATAGCCCAATAATGCAAATGTCAACTTCTCATGCCATTGCCTGGAACCTTGCACCATTTTCCGAAGTATCTTTTTTATGTTTTTGTTGGCTGCCTTGACTGCTCCATTCGCCTTGGGGCGGTATGGGGTGGAGTTGTGATGTGTAATCTTAAACTGTTGACACACTTCCTTCATCAGATGACTGTTAAGATTAACACCATTATCTGTGATGATCACCTTTGGAATTCCAAACTGACAAATGATATTTGAATGAACAAAATCAACCACTGCCTTCTTGGTCACAGATTTGAAAGTTTTAGCTTCAACCCACTTAGTGAAATTGTCAATGGCCACCAGAATGTACATGTGTCCATTGGATGCTGCTGGCTCAATTGGTCGGATGACATCCATACCCCAAGCAATAAAGGGCTATGGTGCAGACATTGTGTGCAATTTGGACGGCGGAGAATGAATCAAATCTCCATGCACTTGGCACTGATCACACTTGCGCACAAAACTGATACAATCTCGCTCCATGGTGAGCCAATAATAACCTGCTCGGAGAATTTTCTTTGCCAGAACATACCCACTCATATGCAGTCCGCAGACTCCAGAATGCACTTTGGTCATGATAGTCGCTGCTTGTCTAGCATCTATGCATCTTAATAATCCAAGATCTGGAGTTCTTTTGTACAAAACTCCCCCACTAAAGAAAAATCCACTCGCTAAATGTCAAATTATTCTCTTTTGATCCCCCGTGGCTTGTACCGGATACACCCCCATCCTGATATACTCCCTGATGTCATGAAACTTTGGTTCACCATCAAGTTCCTCCTCCACCATATTGTAGTAAACATGCTGATCATGGAACTGAATATGCAAAGGGTCAACATAAGCCTTATCTAGATGATGTAACATCGACGCCAAGGTAGCCAAAGCATCGACGACCTCATTATGGATCCTCGGAATGTGCCCGAATTCTATTGATCAAAATTGTTGACAAAGATCATGTAGACATTGTCGATACTGTATAAGCTTTAAATCTCGTGTCTCCCATTCTCCCTGAATCTGGTGCACCAGAAGGTACGAGTCCCCCAAAACCAAGACTTCCTGGATTCCCATATCTACAGCTAGCCTTGGTCCCAGAATGCATGCCTCGTACTCAGCCATGTTGTTGGTACAGTAGAATCGCAGTTGGGTTGTAACAGGGTAGTGATGCCCTGTTTCAGAAATAAGCACTGCCCCTATCCCGACACCTTTCATGTTAGCCGCTCCATCAAAGAAAAGTTTCCAACCTGGTTTTTCAACCTGCTCCACCTCGTTAATATGCATCACCTCTTCATCGGGGAAATAAGTTTTCAATGGTTCATATTCCTCATCGACCGGGTTCTCGACCAAATAATCGGCCAATTCTTGGGCTTTCATCGCTGTCCGAGTCACATATACGATGTCAAACTCTGTGAGGAAGATCTGCCACTTTGCGAGCCTCCCTGTGGGCATGGGCTTCTGAAATATATACTTCAAGGGATCCAGGCTAGAGATGAGGTAAGTAGTGTAGGACGACAAGTAATGCTTCAACGTTTGTGCTACCCAAGTCAGGGCACAACACGTCCTCTCAAGGGGAGTATACTTAACCTCATAAGATGTAAATTTCTTGCTGAGATAGTAAATGGCTTGCTCTTTCCTGCCAGTGATGTCATGCTGACCCAACACATAACCAAATGAATTATCCAAAACCGTTAAATACAGAATCAAAGGTCTTCCCAGTTCTGGTGGGACCAACACAGGTGGGTTTAACAAGTACCCCTTTATCTTATCAAATGCTTCCTAACACTCATCAGTCCACTTGACCGCAACATCCTTCTTTAGCAACTTAAAGATAGGCTCACAAGTTGTCTTGAGCTGAGCAATAAACCTGCTGATGTAGTTCAATCTCCTTAACAAAATCATTACTTCGGTCTTGTTCCTTGGCGGTGGCAATTCCTGGATAGCTTTGATCTTTGATGGATCTAATTCAATGCCCCGCCAGCTGACTATGAATCCCAATAATTTCCCCGATGGAACACTAAATGCACACTTTGCAGGATTGAGCTTAAGATTGTACCTGCGGAGCCTCTAGAAAAACTTTCTCAAATCTCTGACTTGGTTAGACCGCTTCTTGGACTTTATGATCACATCATCCACGTAAACCTCGATCTCCTTGTGTATCATATCGTGGAATATGGTCGTCACTGCCCTCATGTAAGTTGCCCCAGTGTTTTTCAAACCAAAAGGCATGATCCAGTAGCAGTATGTTCCCCACGATGTGATGAATGCCATCTTTTCCCATCCTCCTTGTCCATTAAAATCTGATGATACCCCGCATAGCAATCCACAAAAGACCCAATCTCATGCTTGGCACAATTATCAATCAAAATATGGATATTTGGCAATGGGAAGTTGTCCTTTGGACTTGCCTTGTTGAGATCACGGTAATCAACACACACTGGTCTTACTATCCTTCTTTGACACAGGCACAACATTGGCTAACCACGTGGAATACCGCGTGACCCAAATGACCTTCGCATCAACCTGCTTTGTGACCTCTTCTTTAATCTTCATATCATGTCAGTTTTGAATTTTCTCAACTTCTGCTTGACGGGAGGGAATGCTGGATCGATTGGCAATTTATGGACCACCAAATCGGTACTTAAGCCTGGCATGTCATTATACGACCATGCAAAAATATCCTTATACTCAAACAATGCTTTAATTATTTCTTCCCTAATTTTTGGTTCATGATGGACACTTATCTTAGTTTCTCTGACATTATCTGGGTCCCCTAGATTGATTGATTCCATATCATTCAGATTAGGCTTGGGTTTTTCTTCAAAATGACTTAGTTCCTTACTAATCTCTTCAAAGGCCTCATCCTTATCATATTCTGATTCATTATCACACTCTATATCTTGGATTATTATTTCAGAATTAGATTGACTTTTAAAACTGGGTCGAAGATTCCTAATACATGTCATGTCATTGAAACCAACATAAAAAGAACTGTACAGAGAAGAAAAAAAACAAAAATAAAACTATCTGGAGTGATGGAAAGGGAAATTGCATTTCATTAAAATAAAGGATAACATGGTTCTTACATCAACAAGCGAAAAATAAAAATCTGGGTCACAACCCTGAAATGACCCAGATAGAAAGGAAAACAAAACAAACTACCAATACTCGTTCCTAGTAGGGAGAGGAGTAGACTTCCAATTGTTAAGCTTTGCATTCGACCCGACGAACTGCACATCCACTTTGCTAGAACCTTCTCCAACTTCCACCATGTTCACATCATCAAACAACCTATGGAACCTTTCAATTAACTCCTCATCAATGTCAACCACAGAACCTAGAACTATCATCACTGGGCGTTTCTTGGCACTAGGCTTGGCAAAAGACCTAGAGAGACGCGGAACAGGCTTTGGAAGTGACCACGCCTTCTATTTCAACCTTTTAGCCCTTTTCACATCTTCCGCTGTAGGTTTGAACCCAAGACCGAACGTACCCAAATTTTCAGGGAGGGACACTGACTGTATGATACCCTGCAGAGATGCACCCAGACCTTTACCGGGCACAAAGCCATTTTTCAATATTTCAAAGGCCACCATGACTGATGAGGAAGTTACATTTGAGTTGGAATACATTTCCCTTCTAAAACTTTCTCGACCGACATTGTTTCAAAAACCTGATAGACCTAGGGCCCTTTGTCATCTTCAACCTCAATGAATGAGACATAGGCATCACTGTGAGCACACAAGTTATCTTCACCATGCATGACGATCTCCTGTCTATCCCATTCGAACTTGACCATCTGGTGCAGAGTGGACGGGATTGCTTTGGTGGTATGAATCCAAGGTCGACCTAACAACAAATTGTAAGAGACAGCTACATCCAGCACTTGGAACTCCATGGTGAATTCCACTGGTCCTATTGTCAACTCAAGTACTATATCACCAACTGAATCTTTCCCTCTACCGTCAAATCCCCTAGCGCAGATGCTGTTCTTGTGAATCCTCTCATCATCCACTTTCAACTTGTTCATAGTAGAGAAGCTGATGTTTGCACAAGAACCATTATCAACTAATACCCTGGTAACCACAAAATCTTCACATTTTACCGTAATATAGAGAGCTCTATTCTGTTCAGTACCTTCCACAGGCAACTCATCACCAGAGAAGGTGACCCTGTTCACCTCAAATATTTTGTTGGCGATCTTTTACAGATGATTTACTGAAATTTTGTCGAGAACATGAGCCTCGTTCAGAATTTTCATCAAGGCCCGACGATGCTCGTCTGAGTGGATTAACAATGACAACAATGAAATTTGAGCAGGCGTCTTTCTCAATTGCTCCACGATGGAATAATCTTGTACCTTTATTTTTCGTAGAAACTCCTCCACCTCTTCTTAAGTCACTGCTTCTTCACTAGAACTGGGTTATCTCTTGATGTTTTAGCTTTCCTTAACTCTTTCGGGGCAAAGCATCTCCCCAAACGAGTTAATCCCTGGGCCTAATTGACTTCTTCTTTTACTTCCTTTCCCTTGTATGTCACTATCACCCATTCATAGTTCCATGGGATAGCCTTGTTGTTGACTATCAGCAACTGGGTTACAAGCTTGATGATGACAGGATCCATACGGGCACCCTCTACAGTTATGATAGGCTTGTTTTCCAGTCCTGGCACAACCACTTTTGACTTTTCTTTCTTCGTCGCGACATCACTTGGGGGTCCTTCCTTGACTACCACAGATGGTTCACTGTTTGCCCTGCTCAACTTGTTCACTGATCCTTCAATTGTTGGTTTTTTAACTAGCTTGACCTCACTGGACCGAATCATCATGATGGTCTATGAAGGCTTCTTGGGCTTCCCTCCCTTATGTACTATCTCGATTATGTTTGTTTCCTGATGGGTTGACAATGGGTTCTGGTTGATGTTGGGTGCCTCTGGAGTTTGAACTTCAATCCGGTTTGTGTCAATGAGCTTCTAGATGGCATTTTTCAAGTGCCAGCACTTCTCCGTATCATGCACTGGAGTACCAGAACAATATTCACAGCTTACAGAGTAATCAATATTCTTTGGAGGAGGGTTTGGCAATTTTGACTCAATTGGCCTCAGCATATCCAATTGCCTCAATTTGTTGAACAAACTGGTATAAGACTCCCCAAACGGGGTAAAGGTTTTCTTCCGCTGCATCCTCTCATTTTTAAATGTTGGATTGGGTCAGAAACCTGGGCGGACAGCGTTTCGGTAGGCTCGCGGGGGTGGGTAAGCATTTTGTGGAGTTGGATAGGTGTTTTGTGGGGATGGGGCATGCCATTGTACGTAAGTAGGAGGTTGAGTATACGTCTGGGTGTGGTGGAAAGATATATGAGGGTCTGGTGATGGGAAGTAATGCTGGGGGTGGATTATACGGGGTTTGGGTATAGGTTTGGTGGTGGGGTCGAGGCTGAGTATAATGGTGTGATGGGCCCCTGCGTCCAAACCATGATCCTAAATAAATTGTTTCCACATCTTCTTTTTTATTCTTTCTGATCACTCCCCCAGTACCGTTTTGAATGGCTTGGGTAGTTGCCTTGATAACCGAGTAACTCATGATTTTGTTTGATTTAAGCCCTTCTTCCACCATGCCACCCATATTCACTACCTCGTTGAAGGACTTGCCTATGGCCGATACTAGATGGCCAAAGTAAGCGGGCTCCAGAGCCTACAGAAAATAATCCACCATTTCGCTCTCCTTAATCGGAGGGTCAACTCTTGCCGCTTGTTCTCTCCAACGAAAACCGTACTCCCTGAAACTTTCACTAGGCTTCTTTTCAATCTTAGTCAGAGACAAACAATCTAGAACAATTTCGAGGTTGTATTGGAAATGACAAGCGAATGCTTGGGCCAAATCATCCAATGTATACCATCTGCTGTGATCCTGACGAGTATACCACTCCAATGCCGCGCAGCTCAGTCTCTGGCTAAAGTATGCCATCAGTAGTTCATCTTTCCCACCGGCTCCTCTCATTTTACTGTAGAATCCCCTCAAATGGGCCACTAGGTCTTCGTGCCCGTCATATAGATCGAATTTAGGCATCTTGAATCCCAACTACAGTTGAACATTGGGAAATAGACATAAATCTTTGTAGACCATGCTCACCTGGCCTCCCAATCCCTGCGTGTTTCTAAATGACTGTTCCAGGCTTTTAACCTTTCTGAACATCTCCTCCTGTTCTGGGTTTTTA